GCGCGAGAGAACAATGCGTGCCAGTGTTGCCCGCTCCGGTCGCTCTGCACAGAATAAGCCCGGTGGGGGCAGAACAAAGCCTCGCCTGTGTGTTCTGACCTCGGCGCTCCTAGACAACACATTCTTGGGAGGACAGAGGGGAAACATTCTAACAGGATCACCACTGTTGTTGTTCTGCTATTTATCCAATAAGATAGCCTTTAAAAAGACAAGCTGCGTGTTTGTGTGTGCGCGCTGAGGGAACAAAGCAAACCTGATGGTTTATGTCCTTGGCAAGTTGTCCACAGTTTACTTAATGAAGGTTCTTCAAAGTACGACTGACCCTTTCTGCTTCTACAATAGTTTAAAAACGATCTTTTTGATGAACTGCGAGTAATATAGATAACAACTTTTTTTAAAGGTGGATAAAAGAAGCAGTAGAGCAGTCTGAACTAAGGAAATTACAGCAGCCTTTAAAGGCATTAAAAGTAAAACACAAATGCCGTATTACGATATAAAGATGGTCTTATACAATTGATACGTTGCTGAGCAACCAGTGTACCAAAAGTGTTTCCGGGATGAGTAAAGACTAATGGCTCATCTCCAGGGAAACAGAATCTTCGACAGAACGGCCTTTTGACATCCCTGATGTTCTCACCGAGAGCTGATGATTGACAGCTCCATCAACCACTTACAGGCATTTTAAATCCCTCACTACGTGAGAGTCAGGGGATGCGTCTTTAGCTATAACGAACACCTGTAACCACGGCAACATTTGCACCCACCAAAGAATGGAGCCGCCGCGAGCTCCCTGAAACGTTGGGGTTTTTTCCGCTTTGTTACTCAAAACAGACAAAAAGCGGCGAAAAAACAGTGACTTTATGTGCTTTTCTTCCTGACAACTGTTGTGCCTTTAAGCGAGGGCGCCGGGTCCCGGGCCACAAAGCGTCACGCCATGAGAGCATCAGCGGGAAGAGAAGGCCGCGCGGGACTGAAACCGCGTCTCTGCCGCGGCGAGGAGCTAGCATCTGGCACGGGAGGATAGTCCCGCCTCCGACAGACGCCGTCATCGACCCGCCCACTTCCCCGTTGCGTTCTGACGACGTGCCCCGCCGTCTCCTGAAGCTGAACTGTGTGTGAACCGCAGCATTGGAGTGACAACCATATTTAGCCGCGGCGTGATCGGCGTGTTTCCCCAATCAGCTGGCACCCACTTGTCCCCCCCGTCCCCCCTCGAGGTATAAGCCTTGGCGATATGGAGCCGTCCTGCTCCAAAATAGCCCTCCCACTCACACATTCCCCGGTCTGCCACAGGCAAAGATAAAACTTTTTTTTTTTTGCACACGCTGTCCATTTTGATAAACCTCGGCATGCGAGTAAGTCCCCCGCAAACGCGTGAGTAAGCCTCGCATTGAGGAGCGGCGCTCTCGAGCACGCACAGTTGTGCTGCATTAGTCCTTTTTACTTAATCCTCTGGCCATCGCGCTGCCGATAAACAAAACTCTGGAAAATATTAAACAAGCCGCTCCGTGCGAATACTACAGAGTCTGGAGCACCGCCGGGGGCTCCGTCCCCTCGATGAGGTCGGGGCCAAAAGCGTGATATTAGAAATGTCCTCCAAGTCGTACCTCACAGGGGACGTCCTCTAATAACAGAAGCACACTCGCGCTACGAGATCTTGGTTTTTATCCAGCAGGATGGGATTGCGGTCTAATGTACGAGCAATGCATCAGGGGAGGATAAGCTTCTCCAGAGTCAATAAAAACGGTTTTAGCGGAGCCCCACAAGGGAGTGGGTTTAATTATAAACACAAGTGGAGCTGGACAAAAAAAAAGACAACATCGTAGCATGTTGATCCAATATAAATGCATGCCTGCCTCGCCTCCCACCAGGTTTTCGCAGACGGGGAGCGCTGAGGGAGCAGGGGGCTGAAATAACACGAGCTGTCTGTGGCTCGCACGACATATACTCCACATTCTTCGTTTTATTCCAAACGCTGTGGGTTGTTTTTACACGTACTAACCCAAGCAAAAGGAACACAATGGCAAAGAAAGATTCAGGATTGAAGTAAGTGTAGTCCGGCGAAATCGCCTTTGCGTCAAAGCTTTGATTAGTGATTCGGAGTTCGCGAAAATCCCTCATGGGATAATAATGACCTCAGCTGAAGATGTGCTTCTGTAATGCGTTTTGCGCGCTGAGTGTTAATCCTTCAGGCATTTCACGCACTGCGCCCGGATCTCCATCCCAGACACCCTCCGAGGGGAACCATTACCATTCACTGTAACTCCTAACGCTGGTCAAACCACGTGAAAAAGGAGGAGAAAAAAAAAAGCAATGATTTAAATGAAAGTGAAAAGTGGAGAGCAAAGTTGCGCCCCCTCGGTTTGATTCAAAGCCCGGCTCCTTAATAAGCCCAATTCATTTCCCCTGCTGGGTCTCGCTCCCTCTATCACTAGTGACAGGCGTGAAAGGTCAATAACCTTGGCTCACAGCTCTCATATGGTTAGCAATGCCATAAATTAACGGGTTGACGCGGGTTATTCAGAACTCTCCGAGTGGGCCGACGGAAGCTTATCTTCTGCAAAGGTCACAGTGCTTGGAACACTTAGGGGGAGAGTGAAGGGCCGACACATGATCTATACGAGATGGAGTGCGTTGCACTTTGGCGAAGTCAGATGGACGGGCCGGACCGGGGCGCCGGTGAACATTTGGAAAGCGTAGGTTGCCAAGCCTACGGGGTTCACAGTGGGACGCGCGCTCACGCCGCAACGCGGCTCCTTTCTCCTCTAAACGCAGATTACAGGCTCGGAGGTTTTCTTTGTGACCCACGTCAGCGGCTGACATCAACGCCGCGCGGGCATCTCGACGTTGTCGCGCACATGTAGCCCGTATGTTGCCGTACTGTAAACACCAACGTGGACAAGCTGAAGAGATTACATTTCCTCGCCAGCGGACTCATTTTGATCTCCGTTTTGTAAGTTGGGGAGAAACGACAATCTCCTGCTAATCCACATCACAAGACTCATTCCACAGAGAACAGAGACTTCAACTACCTACCGGACCCGCCAGGCCGAAGCGGCCCAGGAAACGAGGCGCTGGAGGGAGTCGTTTCAATCGTCGTGAGCTTTACGAGGGAATCACAGCCACTGCGAGCGACCGGTAACGCCGCCGCCATCGGCTCCACAATAGCGTTCCTTGTGCTCGCGACTCGAGGCAGGAAGTCGTTTTGAATCAGAAGCACAATTAAACTGTTGTGCCATACGACTCCGTCAGACTCGACATGTTTTACAAATTAGCAGTTCTTCATCTTGTGGCAGCAGTTACACCCTCCAGTAGGAATTTGCCCCCCGACCCGCCCCCCTCACTCCCCCTCACTCCCCCTCAAGGCCCGGTCCTGCTGAGCAGGCATTGCTACAGGAAATAAAGTGGCGACATGCTGCACGCCATTTAATGCCTCGGTAAATATCGACAGAGGGAGAGATAATATAAACTCGCACACCGCTGGCCGTGGAGCGGCGTGTCGCCGCGGTGTGTGTGTGTGTGTGTGTGTGTGTGTGTGTGTGCGCTCAAACGGAGGCTGCTTTGCTGCGGGTCAATCATAATATCCGCCTGGTGATGGCAGACACTGGTGTCAGCAAGACCTGGTACCAGTAGATCACTCGAGGCAAGTAATATGACGGGCTACATATGCTTATCTGATGAGTCAACAGCCCGGGATGCTGAGGGGGGGGTGATGGAAGCCGGCGTCACAAGTCAACGATCCAATCAAGAGCAAATAGAAAGATGAATATAGTGTTACTCTTTTTACCCTGTAGCGTAGTACAAAACAAAAAACGGTAAGAAAAATAAATATATAAAAAAAAACAACTCTCTAAATCCATTGAACAAAATGAACCGCTAAAGAAAAACAAAAGAATGGAAGCAAAGGATCGATCAATGTCATCAAACCCGGTTAGAGAATAAACCACTAACGGCTGCAGAACTGTCCTTGCATTACTCAATTAAGTCACATCAATCACCGCACAGAGCCAAGGGGCTGCTCCATCTTCAAGCTCACGCTCCGTGGTGGTGGTGGGGGAGGGAGCTGTGGAGGTGATAGAGGGCTGCATATGAAGGGTGGGGGGGTGCGTGTGTGTGTGTGTATGAAGAATGTTATGAGATATCAGCCAGCGGCTCCTCGGAGGCCGATGTCCGGGGAGGCCCCCTGCTGCCCCCTTCCTTTCCCAGAACACAGCGGTAGGCGTGGCCCCCGCGGGAGGCAGACGTGTCTCCCCCAGGCAGGATATTGGCTTTTGTGAACACGGTTACAGTATCTGGGTCAATTAACGCGTCCCCTGCTTCAAACTCCCCCTTTTGTTCGGCAGGAGGAACAATGGCGTGCGGGTTCATTGCGCCTCTCGAGCGCAGCGGGCAGCTTTTAGAAAACATGACCCGCGTGTGTCTCTCCCCTGAAGAAGGGGACTGAACACAAGGCGCCGTTTCCTATTTTTCTAAGTTTGCTCAAACTCTCATTAATATATTCATTTGAGTATTGGCTTCGTGGTTTGTCCACGGAGCAGACGCCAAACGCGTAGAGAGAAGGACTGGCGAGGGATGGGCGGTGAACCGGTTCACACGGAATAAGATTTACGTACGGTATAAATTTCTTGGTGTGTGTTGAGTCAGTCATGGTTATAAAAACAATGCTCTTTAAAAGGGGTAAAACACCACGACAACAGCTTATGACACATAAACAATTTGTAACACTAATACTTGTACATTTAAAAAATTGCAATTACATGAAAACACGGAAACCAGGGATTCGGAGCCGTGTCCGTTTGGAGGGTTTTTGGTTTTGGAAAATCCGACGCAAGTTACATTAGATCAGAAAACGACTTATTGCAAAGTCTGTTGAGCCTCTGGTGGCAACACTAGCAGCCGTAACAAGCTAACACGCTAACTAGCTAACGAACTAACACGCCGGCCAGTGAGCGGCGAACAGCTGTACTGTGTTTACTTGAAAAAGCAACACAGTCACATACCGGGACACGCTGACAGGGAGTTTGCATCCGGCGTGGAAAAAAAGTGAAACGCATTGAGAAAAGACAAACTGTGGGCAAAAAAAATCAAACAAACAGCTGGGGCAACATCGCAAACAGAGCGCTCTTTATCCGTGAACGAGATTTGGAGCCGCTTGCTCAAACAGCCGCCCCCCCCCTCCTAAAAAAAAGGGCCGACTCACAGGGAAGAGCAACGGCCCCGAAGCCCACAAACCGGCCCCAGGTAAAGTAAACAATTCACTCCGTACTGCTGATGGACTGTCTCGTAGGTGCAAGCTGACATTTCCTTCTTCCTCACATATTTCTTTTAATAAAGGCAAAGCCAGCCGGGTGATACAGCGGGGCGGCTGCAGAGAGCTGCGCACACACAGCCTCATCACGGGGATCTGCTGCACTTCCTGGACAGGAAATGATTGTTTTAACAGAATGAATAAATCGTTTCCCTTTTGACAGTCTTGTAAATTGAAGCGCGCACATGAAGCCGCGGCGACCCGGCATCGGGGCTGAGGGGGCCCAGGTGTGATCCAGAACCAAATAACCTATAAAACCCCTCTAACCTTCACATGACCGCGTGAAGGAGCAAATACTGCCTGTCCTTGCTTTTTTTTTTCCCCCCACATCCGCATCGGACCCCTCGAGGGGGCCGTGATGGACGACGACACTCGGATTCGGCAAATGTAGTTACACGCAACCTTGTGAAAGACGAGTTACAATCTGCATCTGACCAGTCGCTGCTGGGATCCGGGGTGCGGATTCATTACCAACTGCCTTGCTGACCGAGGTGTCCGAGGTCCGTTGACCTCCAGCAGCTAGTCATAGACGCCTGCGTTACCGGGAGCTGCCCTTCAACGCCGCCACAAAGAGCCATCTGGATTGAACCAGCTAATTGTATGCCAAGGACACACACTCCCCTACAATCGCACAGGCATGAGCGAGGGACACCTAAACCACGGCCCAATGTCAGGGCCGCTCACGGTGAGGTGCCGATGGCGGCGGGGAGGGCGCCGCTGATAGGAGCGATAGGAGCCGAGGTGGCGAGAAGCCATCAGGTTGGTGTCGGCTCCACTTTATCTACATTTAGCCGTTGCTCAAGAGCCAAGTGTACTCCAGATGTGGAGGCATTATCGTCAGATAATAATAAAGATGTGACGCATGTCATGGCAAACCGCGGGCTCGGAAAACGCACCCACAAATTAGCCACAGGCGGCCGGCCGCGTTTCAAAGCGCCAGCGTGACTGGAGCGGAGCCGCGACCCCGCGACAAATGGCCGCTCCTTCTTCCCCCCCCCGGCGTACTGGAGGCAAACCGCATCAAGAGGATACTTCCCAAAACCTCGCTCCGCCAAGATCCAATCTGCTGTCACAATATGTGGTGGTTATCTAGGCCACCAAGCGCCCAAGAAGAATAAAAACACCGCGGCAGGAAATGAAAAATAAATGTTTGCGGGCTGACGACAACGCGGAATGAGACAAATTCAACCCCCGACCAGACAGCGATGCTTTAGCTGCAGCTGGAGCGCTGCCTACATTACAATATATTGATCAGTGTAAACGAAGCCCCGGGATTCATTGATCCACAAAAAAAATGGCACTGCTCTCCATCTGGCCTCATCTGCTGCATCACTGCTTCTCGCCTTGAGTTGGAGATTTGAGTGTTAAAACAATTCCTGTTTCACTGTTGAATTATTCAGACATCGAAGCAGACCACAAAACACAAAGATCTCAACGGCAGCCATCGGACTTTCCTCAAAGCTGAATATTTCAAGGAGCCACAGAGCTCCAGTTCTGTTCCAGGGGCGGTCTCTCTCGTAGTCTTTGGTCCAGATCACATCGCAGTGATTTAATGTCCAACAAGCTCTTGGCCAAAAAAAACACTTTAAAACTTGTGACGCTTGAAAGCGGGGGCTTTTTACACGGGCCTTGGTGGGACTCTCCCGGGGATGAGCGATGGACTCCATAGGTCACAACAACATGAGGTGGTGTTGCCTCCCCCGCTGACGGGTCGGGACCTCTTTGGCTGGTCCTTCATTCATCCATACACCCCCCCCCCACCAGCACAAACCCGAGAGCAGGAGAAAAAGGGGCCAAGTGGGTTGCCGAGCGCTCGGCCCAGTTTGCAGGAGAGGGTCGAGCGGGGTCGCGTCTCGCCAAACACAGGGGCCCCTTAAGCACACGTGAGTGGCCCCAGCTGTACCCGGGGGGGGGCGGCGGAGCCTTAAAGAGGGCGCAGACAACCAGAACGACGGAGAGATGGATTTTGGGAGCGCAGTGTTGTTCTTTGTCAGGAGAGGTGAAACTTGGTTTGTTTAAGAAGGAGTCGCCTTAACCAAACACAGCGACTGAAAATACACATTTAGAATTATCTATATGGCCTGACAGCAGCTCGGAGTTCATGTTCTCGCCGCTGACACTAATTGTTATAATCACATTATTGAACTGGTCAACTGTAGAGGCCCCCCCTTCCCCCTCGACCCGTCCGTAGGGCCGGACGCTCACATTTAAAGCACTTCAACCAAAGCGAAAGCAGACACTTCTCTTTTATCACCAGCGCTTCTATAAATAAAAAAGCAGAAACACAGCGGCGGGGGGGGAAGGGGGTTGGGGAGATGAGAAAAATGAACCCAGAATACGTGGTGGGGGAGGGGGGCAGAGCAGCGGCAGCATAAGAGTTTATTAAGCTCAATTAGGCTTTTGGGCTTTTCATTAGCCCAGTTTTTAGGGAGGGAAACCTCTGCTGAATAATGCAGAGAATGACTCACTTTGCAACCCCACTTTAAATGGCCTCATCAAAATAAATTAACAATGCTATGTGTGTCAACCCTCCAAAGCTCCCAGAATTCCATTAGACACCCAGACGCCAACCACTCGCAGCAGCAGCAGCCCACCTTAAATTACATGCAATTCAATAGAACCAGTCACTCTGAACAGGAGAAGAGGAAAAGCCGCACAAATGCTTCGAGCCTTGGAGCTGCGTGATGGTCTGATAATGATTAACCGCGTTTGGCCGCTCCGTATCGGTATTTCCAAGATTAAGGTCCAGCGGACCCCAGAGAGTAGACAGTGGGTAACCCCCTAACCCTGACGGGGTCCTGCATCTGCAAACAATGAGCGGAACCTCCCTTTAATGGATCACCGGGGAGGACGGCTCTCATACCTGGAATAATTGTCTCCTCTGTGCTGCCTGGCCGAACAACTTTTAGAAAATGCATTTTAACAAATCTATTGAAAATCAATGGAGCAACCCGTGGCCGACTAACGGTTAAAGTCCAGTCAAAGCGCCCCTCCCTCCCTCCCTCTGGACGAGGTTATTGTCTACTCCAGAAAAGGTGTGAAACATCGTGCTGCATGTGCTGTGCTACATGATGTGGCACAGCTTCCAAACGTGCCTCGACCCCCTGACGCCGATGTTGGTGCAGACTCTGTCCCCGAACCCCAATCACTGCCCCCAGTCTCTCATCAGAGGGGACAGCTCCGGTGTCCCCTTCCCACCGTGGGGACACACTTTGGCGATGGCGCGCTAAACGCTTTTTTGCACCCACTTTGATGTCAGACCATTTTTGCTTTATTTGGGCCACGGTCCGAGGTCGTGAGGCTGCAGCGTTGCTCTGCAACCTTTTGCCACTCAGGTGCCTTTTTGGCATCAGTGATCCACACTGTGCCCTCCAAATGGCATTAGACTTCTCCATTCC